CCAGGTAGCAAGCACTGAGAAGGTGATCTCACAGGACAATCTTCCTCTTTAAAGCCTAGGGAAAGATCTCAGAGGTCATTCATTATCTAAGTCTTAGCTTCTGGTTGTACCCAGTTCACAGCCTGATTTTCAGAGCTGCTGAAAAGCTCAAAGTAACAATCCCTGAGAGCCTTTGAGATGACTTTCTAATTGCACACAGAAAAAGTAAGTAAATTCTTCTGAGTTTTTTCCTTAGAAAAAGCAGCTTGGTATTCATGAAATAGGGAAACAGAACAAGTTTTTTTGAAAAGGAAAGAACTAAATATTCAAAAAATGCCAAGGTTAGCAGAGTATAGCATTAGGAAATAGCAGAGAGATTTCTCCCTGAACTTGTGACTTAGCTTTTGAGAAAAATAGCTTTCCTGAAGAAGCCCAGATTGACATTCCACAGCAGCAAGAGAGAAGGTTACTGTTCCTGCTTTATAATGGTATCTCTTTCAATATAGCTTTCCATAGACATTAAACTTCTTACAGTATAATGTGGATTAGAGGGAAGCAGTGGATTTAGGCTATTTTGACCTTAATAAAGATTTTTACAGTGTCTCCCTATTATGTTCTTATAACAAAGTTTGGGAAATATGACATACCTGCAACAACTACTAGACAGATGTGTGACTGTGGAAAATGGGATTCAGGAGGATTTTTGAAACTTGAAAGATGTAGCTAGAAGAGTTTTGTAACAGTTTTATCTTCAGTCCTTTAGTATTCAGTAGTTGTGTTAGGGATGTGACTGGTGGATGTTTGCGGAGGTTACAGATGGCACTGTGCTAGAAGGTGCTGCATCTATGCTGGAGAGGAACGGGATCAAAGTGACCTTCACAAGTTAAGAGAAGTGTTTGGAGGGCAAGGAGAGGAGAATGCTGTCATTCCTTAAAGAGACAAGTTGTTCTGTACATAAATTACGTACAAGAATGGTAAATTACTGGTTAAGCAATAGTTCTGCAGGAAAAAATCCTGGGCATATCATGGCTCACAAGTTGATATGGGTTAACCTGTCATGCTGTAAAGTGAGACATGATTTTCATACATATGAAGAGGTCCTAACATTAATTTTATTAACTGCATTTGCAATTAGAGGAGCTCAGGGCAACACGCTTAATGTGAATGCGTCAAATACATATGTGCATCAGTTTCCTGTGGCAGCAAGGTTCATAGTTAATTGCATATGACATTAAAAAGTACTTCCTTTTATTGTTTTGTATTTAAATATATTGTGCTGTAAGAGAGGGAAAACCAGGGCATCCTGAAGTATCACAACATGATGACAACAACACATCTTTAATTGTACTTCTTTGATTGTTTTCACCACCATTCTCGGTTTTGCAGTGTCCTACAGAGGTTGTGACTCTCAGCACACAGCATATACAGCTCTTCAGGTGTGGGCATGTTGTGTGATTTCTATACTGGTACTGCAGAATTCTCCTTCTACTATATATGAATATAATAAATGCTTTGATTCAAATATTGAGTTAATGTGGACAGTGAACAGCAGTAATCTTAAGGGTCTCTGATTTCTGATTCCATTCTTTACATTAAGCTTGTAATGGAAAAAAATACTCTGATTTTTTTTTTCTACCTGTATCTTGCTTACCTTTTCTATAATTTAAATTTCTTTTACTAGTGCATTGATTTTTTTTCTCTCTCCTCTTCGGGTCTCTCACATTCTCCCTGCTGGTTCCTCACAAACTGACTAGTATTGTGTCCTGTGCAAATGCTGTCAATAAACCACTTATCCATTGACAAGATCATTAAGAAAAAGGTTACCAATTATTTAATTATGAAGCTGGACTAGAATTTTAAGCCAGGATTTATTCCACCTGCATTTTTAGGCACTTAAGTTTAAGTCTAAAGGTCTTATCACTAAAAAGAATTTTCTTGAGAGGTGATTTAATCCATCCTGAAAATGATCAATTTGCCAGGTGTGTTCAATAATTATTAGATATTTTAAAATAAAAATTTAAATGTTATTATTTTATTATTATTTATTTAACTTTTATTATTATAGGTTGAGGGTGTGTGTAAAAGTGTGATGAATCTAGACCTTATTCTTTGCTGTTATAAAACCCAGATTATCTAATCTAATCCTAAACTTTTTTCTTTGCTTCCAGACTCCTTCTTAACACATTGCAACCTTTCATTTTACAGCTGTTTAGTTCCAGCCAAAGTTTGTTGTGTGATGTGTAAGAGAGAGCTTTTAGATGATCTGTAATTTTTGTCATCTGGTTGTGCTTACTGAAGAACTTATAGATCATTAAAATGTTATTTTCCTGTATAAAATCAGTAGCAATTAGACAGGACAGTATTTTCTACTCCCCAAGCCACAGGACAGGGTGATTCTTGCATAGCAAGATAGTTACCAACTCAGTAATTCTCTATTTAAGGTTCTTAATACTCCTAAATATACCGTGATATGTTCTATATTCTCCACTGTTGCTGCTTCTTGATACCTCACTACTCAAATAGAAATTGTTATTGCCAGAAAAAGACTATAGAGAACAGAAATCTCCTGAATGTATTGAACAAGAAAGTTGGATGCCATAGAGGAAAGTAATTTACCTTCTAAACAACGTAATTATCTTCTTTAGCTGCTTCTTTAGCTGTACAAATTCTTTTGTAGAGCTCTTGTTTCTGATATACCTAAGGAATATTTTATTGTTTATTTTTAAATCTTTTAATGTTTGTTCTTGGAAACCTACTTTTGCTCTTTGCAATTTCCTCTTACTTAACGCCTGCTGAAGTTTAAGTTCCTGTTTATTGGTTTCCCTAGGATCATGTTTCCAAAATTTGAAGGATTTTTTTTTTCGGTTGAAATAGACTCTTGAACCTTCCCATTCATCCGGTTTAGCTTAATCCTGCCTTCCTGGTTCCCTTTCTTGCACAGTACCCAAGCCTTCAAAGTACTGCCCTTATTGCCTTTGCTGTCTTACTGGTTTACTATTAGGATCTCTGTGACTAATCTAAGTTTACGAAGTGTGTGGATTCCACTTCATTTCTTATTGTTTACTGAAAAAAAAAGATGCCAGCTCCACCAAGGGATTAGATGATCAGGTTGCTAGACACAAAACTATACGGAGACTCCTTTGCCCAGCAGAGTAGGATAGGACCAGTAAATTTTCTGGATTGTCTGTGTGATGTCACATCTGCATCCCTTTCATCTTGCCTAGGAAAGGAAGAACTTGAATTAGCTCTGTTCAATGTTTAATTGAAGAAGCCAGAGCTCTGCAGGTATAGAACTGAATTACATCTTCTTTGACTGGCTCAGAAGTAGATACTACTTTCTAGGAATAATTTTTTTTTACTGGAGAGCACTGGCTTTGTCTTTTAACATTCGATCTCCAGCGCCATCACTCATCTCTCCAGTGGCATTCTGCTTCCTTAGAGTAGTGCTGGAATTCAGCCAACTCCATGTTTTGGTCGTGACCAAAGACCTGTGTGATTACCATTTCCTCCCCTATCTCACAGTGTGCGAACGTATTACTCCTGTCTCAAAGCAGCATCGGATCCAACACTGTCATTAATTAGTTGTGCACAAAACTCCGTTGCTTCAGACTTTAAAAACAGTCAGTCTTTCCATTTTCTCCTGTATTTCAAGAGAGGATTTAGTGTTTTAAAATACTTTCAGTCATTCTAGGACCTGAAAATTGAAATGCTTTAAGGTAATTTAGCCACTCAGGGTCTTCCATTGGTTTTGCAAACTGCTGAGAAAGAAGATTATTGTAATTCATTTTTATTTCACATACAGGTTATGTCTCTGTGATCCACAAGCATAGAGGCTTCATATTGTGAGGTTAGGAGAGGCTTGGCTATCTTATTAGCCCAGTAAACTCACTGAGCAGACAAAAAGGGTAAAAGAAGTGCTAATTCTTTGTCTAGCTTCACATTTCTTCAGTACAGCACTGATGTCAGAAATGGACAGCCCTTATTAAAACACCCCTTGGAGGTGCAACATTGATGGTCATGTAGCAGCTCTGGGTTCTGCAGTTGAATACATGAGGTTTGTTCTACAGCAGAACTCGTAATCTAACAGTACTTGTTCAAAGCCAGGTCCTGCAGTGTACATTCAGCTTCTGCAGGTTCTGTTGTAACAGAAGCCAGGCAAGGTGGACACAATGTGATCCTTCTGTGTCAAAATGTTTAAATTTCTGAATATTCAGGCATCCAGACAAACCGACCCACTTTTCAGAGGTGCTAAGTTCCTATTGCTGTCTAATATACATGAGACATGCCAGAACTCAACACCTTATAAAATGAATTAGGTGTCCAAATGTTAGACTTAATTATTTATGTCTCTGAGACAGTATCTTGCAGACCAACTCACAATAAATTGCACTGAGCCATTTTTAATACTTTACATTCCAGAAAGGTAAGACTTAGACATTTGGTGTCCAGTCTTAGCTTGGTAGGTACCCTCAATATTATGCAGGACTGCAGTTTTCAATGATATTTGTAGTTGCCATTTTTTTTGTTATATGATATGTTGAATATTTGAATGACTTGCATGTTGGGATGTCAATAATTTAATCATCTATTGATTAGTAATGCCGTTTATTGTATGCTTTGTATTTAAAAGCCCACTTCTGTAAACACTTCATGGATGATTTATCATACCTTTACCTTTCTAGAAGCATGTAGGGAAAGCTCGTCATCAGAGATCCTTCTCTGGTTGGGAGAGAGAGAGAGTCATCACCATTGGCTGATTCAGAAGTCTGTAAGGGTAGAGTTATATTCCAAAGATGTCCCTTTCCATTAATTATGGAATTAATTAATAAGAGGTGACTTAATTTAGTCTATATGGCTTTTTACTCACTTGGTTAGGTGAAATAATTCTGGATTCTTTTCCATGGGATTGTAGAGACAGTGACTGCTCTGGTTGCTCTGCCTTTTTTCAGGGTTGGGCCCATCTTGTTTTTCCTGAAAGATTTGCTGTGTGCTTACACTATTGCATGTTTCTTTTTCTACAGCCAACATCTTGTACCTGGCAAGCCAAGAAATGATGAAGGTGGTGGAGAGAGACAGTACAACCATAAAGCAAAATTTAAAGAAGGTAACTATTTAATCCTCAGAGTTTTCACAGGAAGCCCACAGGCATGAGGAGCTGATACATCCAGTTATATTTGTGCAAAGCCAGAATTTCTGGAGGCTTGATTCTGCCTTTTTGGGAGTGTCATTCCATTTACTTTGGAGAAGCCATTAAAGGGGTCACTGGTCCTTAAAATGTCTTGATCCACACCTTTGTAATTGTAGCCTTCACCACTATCAGATGTTCCAAACCAGCTGGTATGTTTGCCTTTGTGGAGGACAAACAGCCTGTGTTCTGGTTGAGCCTGAGATGTGGTTCCCAGTGAGGCCTGGGTTCTGATCAGACAGGCAGATGGCCAGCCAGGAAATGAGTGCAGGATGATGGACCAAATCCCTTGACTTTGCTGCTGAACAGGTCAAGAAGAACACTCTGTTGTGGGCAGTCAGTTAATACCACAGGGTTCTGCAGGCTCAGTTTTTCCATGACGTCAAAAGATAATAGAGTGGAGTCAGCAAAATTATGGCTCCACAGTTTCAGCCATTGAACTGCAGAGTAAGAGGAATTCCTCAGAGGCTGGAGCTACTGCTCTACAGGTAACTTAATTCATTTCAGGGACCTTTCTCCTGCGCTGAACTTTCTTGTCTGTATCAATTTATTGTTGAAAGAGATTTTGTTAGGTTTTTGTCTGGACTGACAGCATTTTCCCAGGCACTTCCCAGACATGGTTCAAGGGTTGGCACAGGCCAGGAACTGCTCCTAATTGGAGTTCTGATGTGGTCACCCTGTTTTGGAGGCTGAGATAATTTAATAGTCTGGCCATGGTCAGACAATTCCAGATGGCTCATGAGCCAGAAAACTGTCACATTTAATAAACTTCTATTGGGGTAGCCTCTGTGTGAGTAGATAATCAGTATAACATATTATTCTACTGTGTCCCCTTCCTTCCCTCCATTTTTTTGTATCATCCCTGCCTTTTTGCTGGAAGAATGATTCCACCACTTTGCACTGACAGAGATTTTCCTCAGAGAATGGAATTTTCTGGGACAGAGGTCTTCTGTAAAATTACTTTATGCCTTTTAAGTAGATATGGTACAAAGTTCATTTCATAAATCAGTCCTTCTTTTTTGGCTAAAAATAGATTTTTTTTTTATTTATCCCATTTGCCTTCTCTGCACTTTGAAAGGTATGTTCATATTTTAGAGGACTTGAAATAGCACACGTGAACAGGGATCCCTACACTGCACCTGGCGTGCCTGGGCTTTCACATTTTTGCTGCGGAGCACTCAAAGTTCTCCTGCACTTCATGGGGAATCTCTGTGAAAAGACTGAGAGGCTGATCTTGTAGACTGCAAATATTCCCACTGTCTTAAACAAAACTCTTCATGGCTTGATCCAAAGCGCAGTGAATTTAAGGAAAGTGGTTGATTTTACTGACTGAATCACCGAGTGCCAGGGAGCTGGAGGGTCTGCCTGTTCCCTGAGGGAAGGGGAGCCACAAGTGACCCCACACAGGCAGTGCCCTCCCTCACCAAGCAGGATCCAGTTCCATACTCTGAGGAGAGTACAGAAACAGGGTCCTTTGACTGTCCTAGACAAGGCAAAATAATGAACCAGGTCCAGTGTCTCTCCAGAAAATCCAGTCAGGATCAAGAGGGTATGGGGCCAGAGACAGGAGTGGAGACAAGGCTACAACGTGGGTCCAAAGTCCACCCAGGAGGGATTGCCAAAGACATGAGGTAAGGCAAGGTGCAAGGTGGGAGCCATCCAAGCAACAAACTGTATAAGGTGGATCCAGTGTCAATCTATGACTCAGGGCAAGGGCTGGAGACAGATACTCTACAGTGTAGCTGAAGAGACAGAGACTAAAGGTGAAGGACAGAGCTGGAGACCCCAGAGCCATAGGGAGGGAGTGTGGGTCAGGTGCCAGGCAAGGCTGGTAGGGTTGTTAGTGCCCTGAAGCTGAGGGTGAGACTGCAGGTCACCCTGTTAGCCAGGATGCAAAAGCAGAGTGTGCAGAAGCAGGACTTCAGGTGCTCGTGAAAATGTTAGCCATAAGCACACTTGTGATTGTTGTGCTTGAAGTTAAGCATAAAAGTTTCATTGGGTGGGGATGGTGGTGGTGGTGACAATCAGCTGCAGCTCCAGTGACTTCAGGTAGTCTATCAGATGCCTCACATTACAAAAAACACTGATTTTGTGTGCTGAATGAAGGCCCATAGCCAACAGTAAGAGTTTGCAGGTGTCCAAGTCTGCTCCATCTGTGCTTTTGTTGACTCTCTCAATCTAAGCATGGCCTTGGCAGGCTGGAACTGTTTTAAACCTGTGTTAACTTTCTTTTATTGATTCTTCTATATCCTCATACTTTTAAAGTGGCAAACATACTCAAGAAAACAAAAAGCTGAAACGCGCTTATAAGAGTTGGCAAACTGAAGAAAAAGTAGGTCTAAAAATGCTTCTCTTTTTTCATCTCCTAGTAATTTCTGGGAATGTAAGAATTAAGGGAAAAATTTTGAATTGGCATCACGTTAAACTTGAAGAGTATTGACAATAAAAATGGGCTTAACTTATAAAGGTTGGAAGTTTATGAAAACAGGAACTATAGTCCAAGTTGCTATAGAACTGGCAAGCTGTTACTTCAAAAAAATTTATACTGTTTAGTAGTCACTGTGATCATATGGTAGAAGCCAATCTTAACACCTGACTTTGCCAGCTGCTATGGAATAGAACAGTTATTTCTGGATCTTATTTGCATTCTGTGATCTGAAGAAGGAGGAAGAAGAGACACAAAATTATTCCAATCTTTCCATACCAGGATTAACTATAATTGTTACTAGTTAGGGACCAGGAGAAATTTTATCACCAGACCCCAGATTCTTAGTCTAACAATGCTAATTGCTTGGATTCATGTTGAAAGAATGGGAGCTGGAATATTGTTTGGATAATGAAGTGAGGTTTTTCACTTATAATCTTCTAAAGTCAGAAGTTGTGCACATTAAATAGCAGTGGAACTGTATGAGGAGGATGGAGACCTGTCTTCTAACAAAGTAATATATGATAGAGCCTTTAAAATATTGTCTGTAAAACTACTTGTCTGGATCAGGCAGATGTGAATATACAGGAATTTGAGCTTCATATTTCAGTGACATGGGGGTTGTGATAAACCACAAAATCCAAACGAATAAGGTAGGGGATACTGATATAAGATTTGCTTGGCTTTGGTGGTTAATTATTAGCTATTAGATCGTGTCTAAGGCAGCTGAGCTATGTTCTTTCACTGTAATAACACCAACTCCCTTTCCTAACAGAAACTGGAGGCAAAGATACTACTGAACTAGAGGAAGTTTATTGTAATTCCTGCACAAAAGGAAGTGGGTGTAATTCTGTATTCTTAAAAGATGGATCAGCACTGAGCATCATGGAGCTCTTACAAGTAGAATTAAAAAAAAAAACCTTAAAAGGAACAGGAAAATGGATATGTTGGGCATTCACTAGCATGCCTGGAATGGACAATATTTTCATATAGAGGCTCTCTACAGCACTTAACTTGTTATTGTCTGCATCGTGCCCCATTCATTGCTCTATTTTATGACAGCCTTATTGACTTTTTTCTGTCAAATAAGGTTATAAACCTGTTATAATAAATAAATCCTTGTATAAATCAGGAAGATATTGCACCAAAGGGTAAAACTAGGGTGCTTACAGAGGAAAGTCACTAAAAAATCACCCCTCAGAGTTTATATTTATTGAGATATATCTGGTCCATTACTCCATATGTAATACACAGTAGTCCTATTTTCAAGTGTAGAATCTGCTCCAAAGTCCGCCTAAATCAATAGATCTTCCACAGACTTCAGGAATTCTTGAATCAGTGAATTTTCTGCAGTGGATCATAATTTCTTAAGACAATAAGCCATCTCCTCCAATTGAAAATCATGATTCTTCTGGTTAGCATCTTAAACCAAAAAAGGTTTATATGCTCCTTGAGTTTAGTTTTGCCAATGGTTTGGTGTAGAAGTTACATTGATTGCATAAGGAAAAAGACAGGAAACATCTGAAGGAGAGATACAAAGATCAAAAAAGAAAACCTTTTATCTGAGAAGAAATGTAAAAACTGGAAGTTTATGGACACATTAACCTATTTTCACTAAGTTTGTGGAAGTCTGTATAGTGAGTGGCTTATAACCACCCATATATAGATGGTTAGATGGGGAAGAAATTCAGTTTTGTAAAAATTAAATGAATGAAATACATGTTTACAATTTCATGCTTATTTCAATGATGTATTTAGAATTTGAACTCATGCAAGTTTATATCACACCAATAATTCCAAAGAAAATGTCTTCTCCAAGAGTATCAACTAAACAGTGGCATGCAGAGATTTAGAATAACAGCTGAAGAATTAAGTATTTCCTTTCTACAGAGAAGAGCTAGGTTTTTCTTTTGAAAAATTGTCTTTGCTAGAGAAATTTTTTAAAACTGAGCAACCAAGAACTATTTTGACCCCTAAGGCAGCTGTTTTGATGTTGCCCAGTTTTTGGGCAACAGTGTTTTTGTTTGAGTCTCTGTAGACGTCCACGGGGGTTTAGTAATTATTCCCAGTGAGAGGAGCATGATCTGAAGATATGTGCTTAAAAGAATACTACAAATGCCCACAGTCTGAGTGAGGTGCTTGCCTACATTTGTGAAAAACCTTCCAAACACTCTTTCTGAATAGGTACAAGGTGCTCTCTCAAGCCAAGAACACCTATTTTTTTGGTCTGGTCTCACATCCAGTTTGGTTTGCGCTCCCTGGAGGTGCAGAGTTGAAGCCAGGGAAGCTGCACATGTGCTTGGGGATTTTGGTGCCCCTGTCATTTAACCACAAGAACAGCCTTCTCCTTGAAGTGCCCAGAATGCCTAATCAGGGACTGTCAGCTTCTTTCCTTGATGGAAAAGGATCCCAGTGAGCATTTAAAAGTCCAGTGTACCACAGTGTACTTACCTGTGATATTTCACTTGTACTGTAACTGATCTCCTGTTACCAT